AGCGACGCGGAGTGAAGGCAAAAGCAAGGAATCGCTGTTCAGGAAGAGGGAGCGCGACGGGTGTCCGGGCCCAGAGAGAGCTCGGCCCAAGGGGCCAGAGGGGTGTGTGTGTGACCGGGCGGACCTTGTGAGGAGAAAATTAGGCGGGTAAGTCAAAAAGATGGGTGGGTGCATCAAAGCCGATATGATGGTGTGGTTAGGTGTAAGTTATAGAAAAAAATTATGAGGAGAAATAGAAGGAAGGAGAGGTGGGCTAACAGAAAATATGATGAAATAGGGATTGGCTGTGGAGAAGATTCGATCGAATGTAATTGAGATCGAATATAATTTAGTTTATATTAACAATATATTTGTATTTGCTATTTGGATTAAGAAACGTATTTGTAGATAAGAGCAATGTAGTGTAGTGTAGTGTTAGAAGCAATGTAGTGTAGAGAAAATAATGGACTGGGCATGGAAAGTGAAGTACGAAACGGCAATAAGCAAAAGCGCACTCATAATTGATGCAATAATTCTGTTTTTCTTTGATTTGCATGTGTTATTATTTCTTTTTTTCACTAATCTTTATTTGTATTATTATATTATTATAATAACAATTTATTATTATTATTATTATTATTATTATTATTATAATAAAATTCTGCCATTAGTTCTTGTAAAATCAATTCCAATATAAATCTAGGATAAGATTCGGCGAGATATGCGGAAGGGAGCTAACAGGTGTGGGGGGCTGGCGAGGTGGAGGTCCGAACAAGACGTGGCGAGGCGAGAGGCATGTAGAGACAGGGATGTGGATCGAGGCGCAGGGACGGAGCGGGGCACGGCAAAGCAGGGCGACGCACCGACGAAGAGATGCCGGACCGATGCGACGGTGTGCGCCGAATCGCGCCGTCCAGGCGGGAGAGGCGACGTCGCGTACGCATCATCTGCAGTCTAATCTAAAGTCCTGCAGGTGCCGCGCCGGCCGATGTATTCCCGAAGACTTTGTGGATCCATGTTTCCGGGGAAGGCAACTGATAATGTCATTAGTCCTAAAAGTGTAGTGCGTTTTTTATCGCTGGTTGCGGCGGCGATTTGTCCCCTCTGGATGCCGAGGTTCGGCGCCGGTCTACACGTCGGATTGCGGGGTTTTCCCCAACCTGGTATCCCTCACCGGCGGGTCGCCGCCCAAGCCGGGACAAGCTCTAAGCTTCCGACAAGTGTTCCGACATGTGTGGAAGGCTCCTCCACGCAGTGGCTGAATTCGACCTACAAATCCAGTTTGTGAAAAAACCCTGACATCGTCCGAACACGTACCTTAAGACCTTCCGGTTCGAGACACTGAAGTAGCATCAACCTGAGTTACCTAAGCTGATCTGAGGCCTTCATCTAGCACTTCAACATTCACTATTTCCGTCAGTTCCATTCGATCAACCATGCGTTTTGTTTTATTTTATTTTCCAATGCTTTCTATCATTAATTTTGTTATCGTTATTAATGAAACAAGTTTGATGTAGATATAACAATGAAATGAATATGTGATTTCATTATCACTAATGCTTCGTGGGGCAAAAGCGATGGGGCAAAATTGATGCTATATTAAACTTCTATCATTCAACATCAATCTTTGAGAGCCGCAGAGTAATTTTTTATTCCATTTTATAACATATTAACCAATAGCTATCACCGACAATAACGACAATAACGAAATTCCTAGATACCAACACACTTTCGACCATAGACTAGACACAAACATACTCTGACCTAGGGTCAGCAGAACACGAGCCCCTCCGCGACAATACATATACTGAGATGTTCGCAACTCTGCCTCTGGCAGACATCAGCTATTGACTGTTTCATCCAATCGGAAGCTTGAACGTCACCATAGTGACGTCATTATGGTGACGCTCACGCTCTCGATAGGATGAAACCGTCAACAGCTGATACCTGCTAGGAGCAGAGTTGCATAAATCGCAGAATGGGAAACAAGGGTCAAACAACCATGGTCAAGGCGCGTGTTGGCCCTTCAGACCGAAGCGCGGAATTGGTCCGACCACTTCGGTCATCCAAGTCAGTTTTTATTATTTTTATACATAAATTATATGCATTGTATAAACGTATATTGTCTGTGCATATAATTGTAATCCATATAATTTATGCAGTATATGTATTGTCGCGGAGGAACTCGTGTTCTGCTGATCCCAGTTCAGAGGAGCCTGCAAGTATTTTGGTGTCTAGTATATGGTCGGAAGTGTGTTGGCGTCTCTTATATATATAACGTCGTTATTGTTGAACCAAACACAATCGGTGATAGCTGTCGGTTAATATGTTATAAAATGATATAGACAATATACTTTGTGTGTGTATTAATGTACAATGTATATAATTAATAATTAATGAAACGTTTGTTTACTAATAAATATAAAAGTAATATAGTTGATAAACATACATTTAATATTATGAAATATTAATAAACAAAAGCAAGGTTCGCTTATTAATAAAAAACCGTGCTGTTGTTTAAATCATTACTTTGTTATATATAGTTTACCAAGCACGACAATACTTTATGTTGTTCGTTTATTACATGCTCCTTAAGCTTATAATCGGTTACCGTCGATACGATTAATTTTTTGTTGTGCAATGATACAGTTTTTTAAGTAATAAAATAAAGAACAGAAGTTTGCTCTCTAAAATGATTAACGAAAACTCACAAGATATGACACAAGTATGGGAAGCAGCTGACCTAATAGCTTGCAACAGAGCAATGCTGACTCGCTGCGAAGAAATTATTCAGGAGGAAAAATTAAAGTTGGACGAATTTGAAAACCATTTTATTAAGGCAAGTACTTCAAAGAGATGTTAATTGTTTCTGGTATCTTGAATATTATACCGGTATTTTCAATCGCTAAAAGTGAGTTTTTTTAACTTATAACATTTTTATTTTAAAATATGCCAAAAGACATTAGAAATAACATATAAACATTCTAATATAACTGAAATTATAGACACATTGACTAAAACTTTTGGAAATTGGGTTGTCGACACTTAAAAATAATGCATTCGGTTAATGAATTTGTATTTCAGAATAACTGCCATAATGCATATTTTCCTTAACTGGCGAGTGAAGTATCTTTCGTGAACTTTATTCACGAATAAAAATGTACGAGAGGGTTATATAATATATAAACGAGAAATGTATTTTAATTAGAGTCAATTCATTCAAATTACATGGACTCGGTGAAACGTCGTTATAGCTCCATCCTAGTTAGTCCTAGTAAGTATTGACTGCGTAGTTACTCATCCTTTGATATTGCATAATTGAAACTATGTTCCATTCCGATTTTATATGGAAACTGAAAGCGCGTAA